CCTGACACGGGCAAACCGAGGTCCACGAGCTTACGTGACCGCAGTCACGGCTGACCTGGTGGAAGGGCCAGAACAGGCACTCTCATCCTTCCTAACGCTCCGGAGGTTCCCGCATGTCCACAGGGCATCTAATGCCTCTACCTCCCTTGCCCTTCTTCCCAAAGCCACGATCAACAGAAAATTATCTGCCTGTACCCTGGATATTTTTCTGGCTCATAACAGAGTTGACTGAGGAGATATCTATACACTCATGTCCATAGTAGCATTATTCATAAGAACCAAAACTGTGCGTCAGTGGATGGATGGACAAACAAAACGTGGTCTGTACATAACAATGGAATATTATTCAGCCTTCAAAATGAAGGCAGTCCTGCCACAAGCTGAACCCTGAGGATGTTACACTAAGTGAAATAAGCCAGTAACAAAAAACAAATATTGTATGATTTCACTCATATGAGGTACCTAGAGAAGTCATATTCATGGAGACACAAAGCAGAATGGCGTTTGCCAGGGGCTGGGGGAGTGGGAAGCTGGTGTTCCCGGGGACAGAGTTTCCGTTTTTCGGGATGAAAGGGTTATGCAGACGGAGGGTGGAGGCGGCCGCCCAGTTGTGTCAATGTACTTAACGCCCCTGAACCATACACACCTAAAACTGGTGGATGGTTAATTTTATGTGTATTTTACTGCAATTACTAACAATATATTTTTTAAATAGTTGCACCTCCAGGGATTTCACGTCCAGTGGCCAAAGCATCCATTCACTTCAGTCTGCATGGCTGAGCAGACTTTCAGTGAGCAGTGCAACACAACACTGATGTCTATCACCCCGCACACTTCACACTTCTGTGTCTTTATTTCCATGATCTGTTAAGCAAACCTTATCAACAAGACCAAAAAACATGCAGTAGCTCCATTAGGGATTAATTTACTGAATGCCAAGATCAAAGACACACTGTTCAAAGGCACACAATGTCAGGGATGTTCTACTGTGAGCCAGAGGATGCCCGCATGCGGGTCCTACCAGCCACCCAACCACAGTTCTCCAAGGCAGAGAACTGGAACTAAACCCTAACAGTCAAGTCACTCTGACCCCAGACACCAGGAGGTCAGGATGGATGAGAGAAACTTCAGTGCTGGCTTCTGCCCACCACACAACGGCCTCTCGCCGCCCCCTCGGTTCAGCTGACCAACCGTCTGTGTCGGTGAAGGCGGACCCTGGCTTCCAATGACAACCAGCAATGACATCAATTCTGATGGCCTCAGCCCATTGTGTGAGAATTCTGCTTTCTGTCTCCCGTGCAGGCCAGTTTGCTTGAGGTGGATTTTCGTTCAGAACCGGTATCGCCTTTTCCACATACGCATGAAAAGCCAAGCAGGTATCTGGATATCTGCTCTTTGTGCCCCATCCTTGGCTCTCCCCCCAGCAACGGTCGCTTCCTGAAAACCGGTCCCCACCCTTCAGGGACCATCTTGTCCGTCACGGCAGATCCTGCTGCTGTCCCCCAACCTCCCTTCTCCCCTCTTCCACAGCAGGATTCCTCACGCTTTCTCAGAACCGTTAAGATTTTTGGTTGGGCTGCTCTCAGGTGTGGGGCGTGTTGTGTGCACTGCAGGAAATGGCATCCTGGGTCTCCACTCACGAGACGCCAGTAGCACCTCCCTCCACCAAACCCAAAATGTCTCCCTCACTGCCACTTGTCCTGAGGGCAAAAGTGTCCCTGGTTCAGAACCACCGTGTAGAGTGTAGGAGCTTTAGGTAGGCCCACGGCTGCCTGGCTGAAAATCAGATCTCCTCGTCTGCTTCACAGCCGATGGCTGGCTCGCTGCCTGACGGGGGAACGATGCTGCAGTGCACGCTGGTCCAGAGTCGCCGCCCCAGCCCAGACCCGGCCTGGGCCTTACAGGACATCACGCCCTCACCTGGCTGTCGCCCTTTACCTAGACTGCTTCACTCCCTCCCCCTCAGGGCTTTCTCTTGCATCCTGTTTCAGGTTGAATCCTGTCACCCACCCCCCAAAAAAGATGTATTGATATCCTCACCCCAGTACCTCAGCATATGACCTTATTTAGAAATAGGGTCATTGAAGATGTGATGACACTGGAGCTGAGGTCGTACTGGAGCAGGGTGGGCCCTTAATCCAATATGCCTGCTGTCCTTATAGCATGGGGAGACACACGGACACACAGAGAGGGAACAAACACCATGTGACGGCAGAGATCGGAGTGACGCGCTCCGAGCCAGGGAACAGGAGGGAGGCCAGCAGCACGAGAAGCTGAGAGAGGCAGGAAGGGCTCCCTGCAGGTTTCCCAGGGAGCACGGCCCCGCCAGCGCCGTGGGCTGGGGCTTCTGGCTCCCAGACTGTGAGACGATAAATTTCTGCCGTTTTCAGCCACCCAGTCTGTGGTGCTTCGTCTCTGCAGCCCTAGGAAAGGAATCCACACTCAAACTCCCGTCTCAAGCTCTGCTCCGAGGAAACCCAGGCACAGACACCTCGCCTCTGCACTCAAACAGCATGAAGGGCGCAGCCGGCCTGAGGCGGGGAACAGGAGCCCCTTCCTGCAGCCTTTCTTCGTGCGGGAAGGAAGGAAAGGAAGAAGGAAGGAAAAAGGGGAGAAAGGAAGTGACAGAGGGAGGCGAAGGGGTGAGAGAGGAAAAGAGGGAAAAGGGGAACACCAGAAATTCACTTTGGGGAGTCCTTTCTCCTTCCACCCTGCATTCATCCAACAAAGAGCGCGGGGCACGTGCCAGGCACTGCTCTAGGTGCAGGCAGAGAGAAGTGAACAAAACAGACAGTATTTCTGCCCTCACGGGGTTTACCTATGAGCATGGAGGGCAGACCCTAAAGTGCATGGTCCGCGGGATGAGGACAAGTGCCGCGGAGAAAAGTAGAGCAAGGGAAGGGCATGTGGAGTATCCGAGGCGGAGGCAGCCACCTAAACAGGGCGGTGCGGGGAACACAGCCCCTGCTGTCAGCTACAGATGCTCCCGCAGTTCTGCCGGACGTGGTCTCAGCTCAGGCAGAGAGCAGCACACCTGGCCCTGGCCTCTTTCCCTTTTCTGCCCCAGCCCTTCCGTGAGGTTTGGGGAGCCCCCCTGGCCAGTGTGCAAGGGCAGAGTCCACATTCCAGCAGGCTGAAAGTTCGCCCCCACCCTGCTCCAGAACAGAGACTTTAAAAGAACAACCACTGACCACCAACATTCCTTCCTTCCTGTGTCCTTCTTTTCAACCCTCGCTTCTACTTCCTGGGATCACCTCCCAAATAAACCCGTGCCCAGGTCCTTGCCTTGGCCGCAGCATTCAGAAGAGCCAACCAGAGCAGATGTGCAAGGAAGGTTTTGCTGAAAATGGGTATTTCAACCAAAACCTAAAGAAGGCAAGATGTGGAGGCGGGGGGGTTCAGATCTCTGCATCTCCAGGACCTTCCCCAATGTGAGGAATGAAGCCTGGCCATATATAAATTATTTTATTAAGTAGGTCTCCCTCTCTCAACTGTAACTCTCTTGACAGTTGAAAACCCGGCGATGTCAAATACTGAGGAGGACACACAGAAAGCTCCCAGGACATCCTGGCCGTGTGACGGGAGGGAGGATGTGGGATTGGAGCAGACACTGTCAACACCTCGCCCGCTGTCTCCCGGCCACGACCACTTCAGGACACCCGGGCCTGTGTCTCGCTACCAGCAGCGCGCTTTTTCGCATTTGTGGATGTCAAAGTCTCTCCCTCGGACAGAGGAACAGGCCGGAAATGCCCAGAGCAAGCCTCCCCGTCCCCCAACAGCCCTCATTCAATGGCCGAGAGCAGCTGGTGTGTAAAAACCCCGCCTCCCTTGCCCCTCTGGTGGAAAGACTCTTACTCGCGTGTCTGACCTGCCCCCCAGTTTTCCCTGCAGTTTCCAACTCCAGTCGCCCACACTGGTACCAGCCCCAAAATGCATCCTCCATGTGCCTTTCACGCTTCCTTCCGGTGTCTCCTCCAGTGTCACAGGCCTAGTGAGTGACTTCCCTTGTCTCCGTGTTTTTTTCTCGGGGAATCCAAACTAAGAGATGGACAAATCTCCCATCTTTAAAGATGTGTACAGACACATACACTCTGACAGGGTGTGTGGGCAGGCCCTCCGGTCCTCATGTTTAAAATCTGTACCCCAAATGTGGTGCTCGATCGTTAAATCCCTGGCCAGCAGAGTTCAACTTTAAGAAGCACCTGGGTGTGTTCGATGCAAAATAATCCCACCTACGTCAACACGGGACTGTCGTCTGCAGCGTAGATGGGCTAGACCAGCCTCCACTGGCTGGGCCTTTTCCTTTCCTTGGGCTCCCACCCCATTCTGCACCCAGAGTGGAGGTACTGCTGTCCTTCAGCCCACAGATGCCCAAGGGAGGGACACTAACAGCCACCGGGGACAGAGCCTCGTCCATGGCTCGTGTCTCAAGCCCCTCTGCGTGTCCCTGAGCTGGAATCTCACAATTTACCCGAGAAACATTTACCTATCATCCTGTTCTTCAGTCCTCATTTTATTTTTCCCAAATCAATTCCTGAAAGTCAAAATGACTGATAGCTTCATAGCCAGGACAATCACTCTCCTTATCTAATAACCCAGCATCGATGACCCAGGAGCTCCCAGAGTGGTGGCGGCTATATGAATCTATACACGTGATACAATGCCATGGAAGTGCGCGCGCGCACACACACACACACACACACACACACAGTGGCGTGCACAGAAACTGGTGAAAAGCAAATGAGGTCCACAGCTTAGCTGCCAACATCAACTTCCCAGTGTTGCTAATCACCCCGGCTGTGTAAGATTTATCGTGGGGCTGCGAGACGAAGGGGGCATGGCGACTCTGTGTTCTGTGTTTGCAACTTCTCGTAAGCGGAAAAGTATTTCCAAATAAGAAGGTTTAAAAATGCGAGTTTTTTAAAAATATAAAATGAAACCCCTCATTTAAAAGAATACAAAGAGCTCGCAGAGGAAGACAGCACAGGGCCACCCCTTACCTGGGAGCTGGGGATCAGCGCCTTCCACCAGTGCCCGCCCTTCACCAGGTCGACCTCGCACAGAGGCACGGACACCTTCCCAATGACACAGTGGCGTGAGAACTTATCGAAGTCCACCACGGTGAGGAGCAGGGTCCTCCGCTGCGCTTCCAGGAAGGGGATCTCGAAGGTGTAGCGCTCCTCAAAGACGGGCTTCTGCGTCTTGCGCTTGACCCCCGTCTGCTTAGAGTTCTTCTGGTCTGGCAGGAGGCAGATCTTGACATAGGGGTTGGAGTGGGCCATGTCCTGGCGCGCGCCGTCCTGGGAGATGGGGGGCGGCAGGTCCCGGGCTTCGATCACGCGCACCGTCAGGTGGTTGTGCAGCAGGTCGTACTGGGTGCTGAAGTGCAGCATGCCCAGCTGGTACTTGGACAAGATCTCCTCGTCCGTCAGGAAGTCCACGTCGTCGCTGTTGGAGTCCAGGGAGTACAGCCGGGGCTCGAACTTCCTGAAATAGTCGTCTGGGGTATAGGTCCGTCTGAGCACCGAGGGCTGGATGGGCTCCTTCTTGGCGCCGAGGACGCCGAACTCAATGGGTTTAATATCGATGAGCGGGGAGCTGGGTCGTCTGGACTCGAGGCCTAAACAGTCGCCAGAAATAACAATTAACATCACCACACAGGGGATGGGATCTGGGCCGCTTCGGGAGATGGGCAACATTTCCCAGGTTCTCACATCGTCCACTCCGCTTCGTAACGCTCTGGACCACCTGCCTTCGGCACCGTGAAAGCCTCTCGTTTATTCTAAGAGGCAGCATGGCGGCAGCGGCAGCTCCGTCACCATGATCACAGCAGCCAAGCGCCAGGTGTGGTTAAACGCATCGCATGTTTCAAGTCATCTTGTCTTCACAAGGTTATTAGCTAACGACCACTTCTCAGCCCATCCCCCCACAGCCGTTTTACAGATGAGGAAACAGAAACACGGATTAACTCGCCCAGGGTCACACAACAAGTAAGAGGAGAAAGCAAGGGTCGAGCCTGGCCGGTGTGGCCCCTGACCCTTGACTCGAACCTTTACTGTTTACTGCCTCCGCTTTCAGAATGGGACTCTGGGGCTGGAGTGCTTGGTCAAATTCCAACCTGGCCACTTACTAGGAAGCCATGTGACTCAGGGAACATTCCAAAAACTCTCCGGGACTCAGTTTCCCCATCTGTGAAATGGAGCTAATAATGGCACCTACCTCAAAGTACCTACTGTACTTCTTCAAGGATCCTATTCAGGGAGTCCTTGGGTCTTACCCTCCTTCCTCCTCCCCACCCAAATCATGCCATTTAGTCAAATACATCAAAGGGGATGTGGGCCAAATTCAACCCATGATACATTTTGTTCGTGTTTAAAAGTGAGAGAGTTTTATGCAAAAACCCAGATGGCCAGTTTCTCTTTAGAAAAATCAGGCAGTACGGGGCTCACAGTCCCCTGTGGCTGCAGCTGAGGACCAGCTTCCCTTTCAGCAGGGCACGCGCTGCCCGGCTGTGCACACCCACCCCAGTGCCTCTCAAGGGTGGTCACCATTCAACACAGCCGTAGGGTGACACTGATCTCTACCCAGCTCTCAGCCCTCAGTTCCTGACACAACCCGCCCGGACCCTGGAGTCACTAGGACCTGCAAGCCCTGCTGTGTAACCTGGTAACGCTCACCTTTCAGGGTGTGAAACAATACAGGCTGACAATGTCAATCAGTCGAGCCAATCCAATGAAAAGTGATCATTAAAAACAAAAATCAGCCAAAACGATCGCTCTGACTGAACGCGGCAGAAGTCAGGTGCTGTGCACTTCCGTCACGTCGCCGCCTCTGTCATCTGTCGCCTGGACTGTCACCCCACCCTGCCCCTCCCCTTGTCCTTCATGTGTTTCCTTGGGGTGCCTCTGACTGACTGGGAAAGCCAGCTCTCCTCTCCTGCCCTGGGAACCCGGCGGACAGGGTTTTGACTCATGGACTCCCCGAGGGAAGGCTGAGCAGCACAGGACTGCGCAGGCCAGGCCCCAGCCTCCGCAGAGACACTTACTTGAAATCCGCCGGGTCAGGCTGTATGTAGACTTCGATGTGTCGGAGGACGAGCATCTCCGATCTGGGGAGTCGGTCCGTGGGGTCAGCGGGACGTCGCTGGCAGTATGGACGGAGTCCCCGTCCTTGTCACCGCTCCTGCTGGCCATCCTACGGGAGGGAGAGGTCTCAACGGTTGTCAGAGAATCCCCAGGGACTGGCGTCTCTGTGCTTTGGAGAAGAGACCCATAAGGAAAGAGCTCTCAGGCCCAAGGAATACAACTTGGAATAATGCAAATCTAAAATAGTGTGGTAGCTCTAAACTCTCCCCAGTGTCTTGCTTTTTGTACAAAGTGTGAAGTGATATGAATAAATATTTCCCAATTTAGACCAATCAGTCAAAGCTGAGGCTGGGGGGAGGAATATGAAAAAATGTTTTAAGAAAACCCTCTTTTAAAAAGATTTTATTTTTAGAGAGAGGGGAAGGGAGGTAAGAAGAGAAGGAGAGAAACATCAATGTGTGGTTGCCTCTTGCACACCGCCCCCGCCCCCCCCTCCCCCGGACATGGTCTGCAACCCAGGCATGTGCCCTGACTGTGTATTGAATCAGTGACCCTGTGGTTTGCAGGGTAGCACACAATCCACTGAGCCACACCAGCAGGGGGAAGGTATGGAGGCCTATTCAGGATACGGCCGCGGCGGGGGAGGGGCGCCGCTTTGACTATGTCAAGAGATGCCTGTCAATCTTCAGTCTGGAAGGGAACTTGTGGCTGTTTATGTGTGTCCCAACTTTTGCAAGTGGCTCTTGGTGAGAAATGCCCTGCTATTTCAATAGTCACTGTGTCTGCCATTTAACATCTTTTAGAAATCTCCTAGAACAATGTCACTCAAGGGTTCTTTAGTGGCAGGGCTATAGCTACAAAATAGCCCTGAGAATCGATGATGGAAGAACAATAGTTTGATGTAAAGAAACAGCTGTGAATTAGCAGCAAGCACAATCCAAAGTGCTCCTGATGGAAACATGGAAAGCCCTGGGTGGGAGGGGAGGTAAATGCAAAGTGGTAATTAAGGAGACAACCTCTCGGTTTGAACCCTGGCTGGGTGACCTTGGGCCAATCCCTTCCTCTCTCTGTGCCTCCATCTCCCCATCTGTAAAATGGGAATAATAATAGTGCCCACCTTGCATGGTTGCTGTAAATACTGAACGAGTTCACACATATACAATGTTTACAATAGTGCTTGGTATCTCATAGGTAGGTGCCAAATATATTTCAGCTAATATGATTAACAGGGGTGGCTTTAAGAATCCTCCAATATTCATAATGCTATTAGGTTAGGATGCTGCACAGGAAGGGGGTGGGAGGAGGGCACAAAAGCTGGCAAGTGGCCGTGGGATGGATGCTGCAAACAACACGCCCCAGGCCATCACCGCTGCGGATTGATGTGTTCTGAGACTGCGTCCCCCCAGGTTGACATTTAAGCCTGCAGGGAAACTAGTCCTGAAAAATGCAAGTTTCGAATTCTCTGAGGTTTTCCGATACAGCCTGTGCATGAAATGAGACGGATCTGATGTTCTTCCAAAGTGGTAACAAGGGTCACAGTGAGGACGAGACCGGGTGCGTTCCAAAGGCAGGAAGCGCACAGTCCTTGCCTGCCTGCTGCTCCGGGTCTCTGGAAGGTGAACAAGGCAGATGAGGTGCGGGGCATGGAAAGTAGGGGGGGGCACAGGGATGGGATCGCACTGTACCGGTCGTTCTTGCTCTCCCTTAAACAAAAGCTGTTGCATCTTCCAAGGACGGCAGCACCAAACATAGCGGCCACTGAGGCATCTCCACCTGCACAGCCTACTTTCCGGCTGTCACACCTCTGCGGCAGTCACTTCCACCCGGAAGTCCCATCCAGCCTCCAAGGATCAGCTTAAACACCACGGGCCCCAGAAGCCGTAGTTGAGTCCTCTCAGACACGGTACCGGTGTGCGCCTGGGCCACCCCATCTCCTCCACCTGGCAACCACCCAGCCTCCCTGCCCTTCCTCCCGCACACCGAGCCACACTGTTCCCTCTGCCCAGAATGCTCTTCCAGTCCCCATCACCTGTCTGGTTCCTTGCCATCACTCAGGTCTCAGCTTTAATAGCATCTCCTCAGGGAGACCCCACCCTGTCGCCATCACTTCACCAACCCCCTTCAGCCTTATCTGTGCACCTGCTTTTTCCCTCTTTGACAGTGCACATAACTCGTCTTTAGCTGTGGCCTGCCTGCTTTTCTTCTGCATCTGACACCAAGCGGTAGCCCCACAGGGGTAGCAACAGCATCTGTCTCGGTCACCACTGCCAACCTTGCCCTAGTACCTGGCACTTCGGGGGTGCTCCACATTTATTTTCTCAGTGAATGAATGAATACACCCTTCTGGTGGTTCTTATCCCACTTCTCTTGTGTCATAGTGATCTGAGTGCCAGTCTTGTCAACACTCCTATACCAGGGCACATTTCTTAATGGTGAGATATGTACTTGTTATGATCAAAGGTACCCAGTGTTGGGTGCCTACTATTTGCCAGACCCTGGGCTAAGTGCTCTGTATGAACCATCTCATTTCACCCATAACGTAATTTGGGAATTAGTTGTTATTCATAACCATGCCCCTTTTCTACATGGGGAAATGAAAGCCCCAGGTGGGGGGCAGGGGAAGGGTGGATAATTAATTAGCACCACTGTTAACGGTAGAACTTTGACTGAGTCAAGTGACAACAGGCTCCGGTCCCCGCTCCACACTGCTGAGCTGGGCAGTAGGCACTCCATACACGCTCGTTGGACAAACAAACCACTTGACTTTAATTCACTCTCCAATGAGGGTCTTCCTGTAATTGCCCCAAGAGGAGCCAGCTGGATCGTACAGTTTTTCTGCCCCTCACCAGGCCAACCCAGCCCGGGAAAGCTTGCGACTCACATGACAGAATCACATGTGACAATAATGGTGCACCCCCCACCCAAAGGGACAGCTCATCTGCCACCCCTGTGGTTCTGGGCTCAAATATCACAGCAGGAATGGCATTGCAAAGCCTGCACACTTGACATGTCTGCTTCCTTGAAAACATGCAACTGCCCACTTGGTAATAAATCTGGGGAAGACACAAGTTATAAAGTCGCTTTCTGAAGGATTTAACCTGCTTCCCCTTTACAGATTTCTCTTAACATTTTGTACTATGTTGAAAGCCAAAAGTGCACTAAGTGATACCCAGGATCCAAGGAAGACCTGGCTCACTCTGGGCAGCACGAAGGTCACGTACAGGTGTGCCAGCTGCAGGCTGCACAACTCCAGGTGGTGCCGCTCCCTATAACCACCCAGGGAAGGGCTCCTCCGGAAGTCGTGTGGTGCCCTGGCTCTGCTAGGAAGTTTCCAACCCACTTCTCTGCTTGTGGCAAAATCAGAACTGTCTCCCCAGAGGGTCCCACCCCTTGCCCCCTAAAAAGAGTCCTCTGCTTGCCCAAAGGGTCAGCAGCCTGTCACACACAACTGTCATCCAACTCAGTGGCTGTGCATCTATAGCACTCCATCTGGGTGTCTGGGCACAAACTTATACCCGACTGTGATTTTCAGTGTCCATCGCTTCAAAAGAAAATCCAAATTCCTTAATCTGGCATTCAAGACCCTACACAATCTGAGTTACAGCATCATTTTCTACAATCCCTGCAACAACTCCAAGACACAGTAACTGGTGTTTTCTGCCCTGCGTCCAGTTATGGCACACAAAGTGTCTATTACAAAGGTCGGCAAACTACAAGGCCAAATCCACTGCCTGATTTTGTCAGTGAAGTGTTACTGGAACACAGCCATGACCACCCATTAATGTATTGACTATTACTTCTGCACTGGAATGACAGAATTGACTAGTTGTAACGGTGACAAAGCCAATGAGGCTGAAATATTTACCATCTGGCCCTTTACAGGTGAAGTGGGACAAGCTCTGTTCTACTAGCCTAGTTCATGTGTTTCAAATGGGAATGACCCTTTTCCCAGTTTCGGGATGGTCAGGCAACCCAGACGAGGTCCCGGCACCATTTCCTCCATGCAAAAGTGACTGGGTCACGTGTCTGGCACATTTATACCACGTTAGGGCAGTGAGAGCCTTTCCTGGTGTTCTTGCTGCTGCTGAGAAGGAAGAAGCTTAAGAATGAGGCCAATACAAGAGAAACAGAAAGAAAGCAAGAGAGTACATGCACGCACACACACCCATGATTTCATGTAAGCCCCTGGATCCAGCTACACCTGAAGCCATTCCACCTGGATTTTTTCCACTAAAAAATTCTATGCAGGACTTTCATATGAGTGTGCAGGGAGTGAATGCATAGCCCTCGGGGGTGACTGAACTTGTGTACCCGCCTTACATCCTGTACTAGGTTTTAAGTCCCCTGAACACAGAAACAGGACTCTGTCAAGCCTGTGTGTTCCACAGTGCCTGCGGGATGCACTCAAGAAATAAGTACCTAAGAAACTACGATTAACTTTTCAACTGGATGACGAGCACTTTCAGGATTCACTTTCTGCCTGTAGGTTAGTCAGTTGGTCAACAATCACGTTTCGGAGTAAGACAGGTGAAGAAGACCCTGCCCTCACAGGGCCAGCATTCTTCTGAGCGTGGCCTTCACGAAAAGACACCAGATGGGCTGAGCCAACCTCTGACCCACAGGGCACTGGAAAATGGGACTGAGCTCTTGATTAATGAGTCGATTTCACCAAACATTTCAACTCTGCTCACACCTGCAGGACTCAGGCTGCAACCTATGAATAATGGAAGAGCACCTTACCATCGCCTTTAATCAGTTTAAAGGATCCCTATCAATACCTAATAAGGATAGAAATAAGTCCTTACTACTGCAATAAGCATGGCACGTGCGTACATCATTACTCTTAACAGCCCTACAAAGTAAATTCTGTGACTGTTCCCACTTTACAGATGAGGAAACCGAGACAAACACAGGGTAAAAAGACTCTCATTTAGGATTGCCAACCAGGTGTCGAGCATTCCGGAGTCCTTCTCCATATACTAATTCCTGTCGGCACCACAACAACCCTATGAGACAAATACTATTGTTTTCAACATTCCCATTTCATACCTGGGAAAGTCAAGGCACGGAGGGCTCACGCAACTTGCTCAAGATCACAGAACCAGGAAAAAGTAGAAGAAATAAGATATCAACTCACAGGGACTGACAGAACCATTTTGTTAACAGAAATATTTGACGCCTGCTTCTAAAGAAGAGAAAACTAGAGGAAGGACTGAGGCATGACTCCCCGACCTGGAGGGAGAGATTGGGCACCACCGTCCTCTGGAACCTCAGCCCGAGGATTTAGCAGACTCAGCACTGGGTCCCCCTGGGGCTCCAGCTGTGGGCCCCTGTACTGCCGCTGGCCCCGCCAGGCCTCCCCGTCTGTCTCGTGAGAAGTTGCCCGCGATCATTCCCAGACCCTCGAGGCTCAACCCAGGCTCTCGGTCCACATTCCTCTCCCAGCCACAGAGAGGTGGACCAGACACAAGGCTGAAAAGCTTCAAAACCATGTTCCCAAAATATCTGAGTGACTGGCAGATGGAGATGTTGGATGCAGGCGCGGGAGGAGAACGAATTGGAAATAAAATGAAAGATGCCAAAAAGAACATAAACAGCGTTGGAGGACAGGATGGAGCCTGGAGGTGCTTTTCGGCTTCTCTATTTCTGAAGCTCATGGTCAGAACAGCTAAGATGCACTTGTTTGTTCATTCCCTCTACCCAGCCAGGCAACACTTACTCAGCATTTACTATGTGCCAAGCGTTAGGCCAATCTGTCACACTGACTTGGAGGGACACCTTTGGAATCTGGATATCCCTTGAAGACTATCGATGTTCACGGGTCTCTTGTTACTCTTGGAAGGACACTCAATGTGATCACACGTGCCCACATGTTTGGCATCACCCAGTTCACATCTCGGAAAATGTGAAATTAGCTGAACAAAAGTCTCACCACCAGCTGGTCTCACCAGCTTGCCAAATACATTGAGAGGCACAGAGCATGTCCACATCAACGGCAAAGAAGTCCACAAGCACTCTGCCTTTCCCGCCTTCGTACCCCTGAATCCTCCTTCCCTTGGCCCGGCCCCCTCTCAGAAACTGAGAAAACAAAGGTCTTGCGGTCACTCTCCAGGGAGTTCAGAGCAGTGTTACTTACAGCCAGGGAGGAGTCTGGGCAGGAAAAGGTCCCAGAATTTCAACTTCATCCTCACTCGACTGGCAACAGCTGGACTCATAGCACTTCTGACAGCAGTGCCGGCAAGTCCATCTGCACAGCAGCAGATCGGAGATTCTAGAAAGAAATCCCTGAGGCCATTGGGGGAGGCGGGTGGGGGAGGGGGTTAGAGGGGACACGGGAAGGGTGGAGAGGAGGAAAAGGAAAAACACCCGGATTACAAGCAGCCCATCCCTGGGGAGAAATGACTTTCGGGAGGTCTGTCTCTGCTGTCAGCACTTGGAACGAAATGTTTTCCATTTCTATTTACCAACTGCAGGCACAAAGATGGCAAACACCAACTCGCCGGAGCCATTAATAGCCAGCAAAACATTTGCAGGTAGTTTCTTTTGTAGTTTATAGAAACGTCTTTCTTGACATGTGGGCGGTAGACCCAACATGGTGAGGGCTATACAACATGTTCCCGAAACACAATGAATATTAGTCTGTCTTCTTGAAAGCAAAGCAAAAATAGTTTTTTCTAAAAAAGATAACCGCAGCGATGGGAAAGGAAACAGAGATAATCAAATGAAATAAGTAGGGGGTGGGGAGGGAAACCTAGCTAGTGGACTAGTGTCTTTTCCCTGGGATCTCCCTGCCACAGAAATTCAGTGAAACTGTGCCCTTGTCAACATCCGGTTACTGTTTAATAGTCAATATTCCCCAGAGCCTCACAAAAGACGCCAAACGAAAAGCAAGCATTTCTTGATTAGAAGCCAGACCAAATGAATCATTGAATTAACCCACCTCGTTTAAAGGTTCCAACTGCCCTTTTAGAGATCCAAGATGAAGCCACGGGGTGGAGGGGGTCGGGGTGACAAAAAAGAGAGAGACAAAACCAGTTTAGCAATATTCCAGCAACTCAAAAAAGAAAAAAAAAAAGCTCTGGATCTTTCCACTTACCATCCTGGGAAGGGAGCTGACTTCCTAACAAGGTGTTGCTATCCCCAGAGCTGCTGGTAGCCTCCTGGCTAACCAATACCGAATAAATGGGAAACTTTAGCATTTCGGGTTGATTTGCACCGTATGCTGTTATGAATCAGAGCGGGTGGATAGATAGTCATGCTATCCAATGCAGCCACACTTTAGAAGAGCAAACCTTCCTATACAGAAATAGCCCTGAAGCCAACCCAAAAGGACATGATTAGCTAACATGCAGGCGGGCACAGAGTGGATGTGACTTGGCTCCCCCGCCCTTCTGGAGGCACTACCTTCCAAGTCTGCTCCAATGGAGACGGTGGGGAGCTTCATATGACCACCCACAAACGGAGGGAGCCAAAAAAGCAGGCATAATCTGGTCCTTGGAGGAGGGACAGGCTGCCTCCGTTCTCTGGCCCCACCCCACATCTCATTTCCTCACAGGTTCCCAAGACACAGGATCCTTCCCCTTTTCCAGGAAAGAGTCCTGATGGCTTTCCAAATGGGCCAAGTAAACCAGGTAGGTTAGGAGGAGTCCCGTATCCTAGCCTGGGACATAGCCCAGAGACGAATTCAGGTGGGACTGGAACTCAGAACTCTAAGGGAGGAAGTTAATTGTCTTTTTCAATTCTCTTGCAAGGAAAAGAAAGACTCAGTTTGGTACCATTCTATGTTAATATCTTCCTCATAGGTCCAAATCTCCCCCCACCCCCGCATCCCCCACAAAGAGAAGACTCCCAGCTCAGAGCCATGCAGAGCACCCTTTACAGCTGGAATCTAAGAATGTGGCATTATTCTCATTGTGTTTCTTTTTTTCAGTTGCCTTCTGTTTATATCAAGTGATCCTGGTTTTCTAATATGGTGCTGACATAAAGTTTCCCTTTCATATGAGTTTTTAAAGTAAAAAAAAAGAGGGGGGAGGAGTTCATTTATAGAAAAATTACGTAAAAAAAAAACGTACAGGTGGTACATAGCTCATGAAAAATTCACAGTCCGTGAAGTGGTTAGGAGATAGCGGCACCTTGGGAAACAGGTCTTGGGCACGAGTCACAAACTCTTTCGAAAGCAAAACTCAAACAAGAACAAGACCTGCTTGTGGGGTGGGGTGAGAGCGGGGAGGGCACACAAAGAGCTGAGCAGAGAAGTGCCAGTCCTGGCCTCACCACTAGCCGCTCACGTGACTTGGGCAAGTCCTGGGGCCATTCTGAGCCTCCGTTACCTCTTTTCTTTCATGAAAACACTAAACTAGGGCACTGACTATGAAAATACTTGTGTGCCGCCCAGCTGCAAACTATCTGCCCCCTTTCTGTGGCTTATGAGAACAAGGAGGTTTGTCAAGACCAATTAGAACCTACCAGGCACCAGGGACTGTTCTGGCCAACAGGGCAGTGAGCAAAGCGTCAACAAGCTACGTCCTCATGGGGCTTCCAAGAGCAAGTGCTTTAAAATGCTTCCGATAAAGTGCAAGGATAAAGTGATGCTTTTTCCCAATTCTTGCCCATGATCTTCATTTAGGGGAGCATTTTCTCAGTATGTGGTGATCAAAAGAGAACCATTTATAAAAGCATGATGAGCAGGGATAAAGCCACCGCGGGGTCTCTGCTTAAGAAACAACCATCCAGCCTCCTCCAGACCCAGGTGCAAGGTGAGTGTGTCGGGGAGCAAAGAGAAACCAAGGAAGATGAAGAAAGAGGAAAGGGAAGATGCTCTCATGCTACCAGGCATGTCTGGTGAGCCTTTCCTCACACTGGTTCCACTGGGTTCGTATGTTTGACCCAACGGAGGAGAACTGACTCAAGCCAGAAAGAGACAGGATGAGAGCAAGCCCGGCATTCTGTGATGAGGTCGACGAACCTGGCCTGCAGCCTGTTTTTGCACGGCACTCAGCTAGGAATGCTCTGTACATTTTTAAGTATTTGAAAAAAAGTCAAAAAGGAGATGAGTACTTCTTGATTCGTACCAAGTACATGAAATTCAAATTTCAGTGTCCACAAATAAAGTTTTATTGGAACGCAACCACGCCCATTCATTTACTATCATATATGGCTGTTCAGCACCATAGTTAGAGTAGGAGAGTTGAGACACAAACCTTGTAACCCGCAAAGAAAAAAAAAAACATTTACTCTCTGGCCCTTTACAGAAAAAGTTTAACAACTTGTTCTGGAAGTAAAGCCATCATCACCAGGCCTTCCTCATACCCGATGCTTAACAAATGCCCCACTGATCTCCACAGTCCTGCCTTTTAGATCTCACCTCAACCCCTGAAGCAGCCGTGTGGCCTTGCACAAATCATTTTATTTCCCTGTGCTGAAGGTGGTCAAGAACTATAAAAGCCTGTTCAAATGTCCTCATCTCACTAGGTCGTGCATTCTGAGAGGCACGGCCTGTGCTGTTTCCACAGCTGTGCTCCCAAAGCCCACACATTGTAAGTGCCTACCCCGCTGTTTGTTCAATGACTGACTACTGAATAGTCCCCCTAACAACATCCAGGACCCAGTGGCTGTAAACGTGACCTTCAATGAACTTGAAGAGATAGATGACCTGGCGATTTCATGAAAAGGAAGCCAGTAGAGCTAATCTAAATCAGGAGAGGGATGAGGAGGCTAGCCAGGTGGCAGAGTGCAGAGTTTCTGGCAGACCGAAGTCTGAGGAGAAAATGAGGGAATTGTGAACCAGAGGGAAACTAGGGGACCGCAGGCCCCCAGTAGTGGCTGAGGAGATGAGAAGTAAGCCCAGATGCACCCTGAATGTAGGAGCCTGTAGGCTTCTCTGCCAGGCTCAGAGGAGCCAGTCCCAGAAGCGAGCAGCTCAAAGGGTCTGACTGCATGACCTTGGCGCTGACCTGTCATCACTTCCAGCCCTGTATTAAGGAAAGGTCTCTTAGTCAAGCAGAGCCCCCGCCCATAAAAAGAAAATCATGCTTGGAAATTATTTCAGCCCGATGACCATTGGGGAGTTTCCCCAAAATGATGGGGGTCCACAACTCCCATCCCCAATACAATGGCCTAAAGTAATCCACTGCCCTACCACTACCGCCAGCACCACTACCAGCACGCCTCTAGTGTGTCCCCCACCCCTCAGCACCCAGTGCCCGGGAGAGACGACGTCCTGGTCCCTCCTGGCCAGAACAGCTGCCTCTGGCTCCCCGGGCCGGCCAATCAGTCCCAGCCATCTCCAAGGCAACCGCAGCTGGCCGGCCGCGCCGCTGGCGTGCCCCGGGCCGCCCTCGCCGCGGCCCCTCCCCTGGGGTGGGGTGCAAAGGGACAGGGAGGGGGAGGGGGAGTAGGGAGAAAAGTCCGCCTAACCCCCCCATTCCCTCCCAAGGAGGCGAAGGCGCGAGTGCAGAGTCCGCAGGGGACCCTTCATTCCAGGAGGGGGGGGGTCCCCAGCCTCTTCTCCTGGGGCGCACAGGTTGCTGAGGTCGGGCACCCTTTTTCCAAAGCAAGTTGTGGGAGCCCCGCCTCGTGCCCTTTCTTACGCGCGCTCACGGTCGAAAGGGGCACAGCCCCTCCACCCACACCGCAGACCTGGCCCCCCAGCCTCAGCCCTACCTGGATGTACGCCATTTTCGCCCGTGCGACTCACTCCGGCCCGGGCATGGCGCCGCCACGGCCACTTTGCCCTCGCCAAAGGGAGAGGGGGGAGAAAGCAAAGGGGGAAAGGAAGAAAAGGAGGCCGGTGGCCCCAGACGTGACTGGCGTGGCTGATGAGCGGCTCCCGCCCCTCCGCCGGCCGCCCCGTCCTTGCCTTTCCCTGCGTTTCGGCTCCAGGAGTCGGGGCCACCTCCAGTTTGGGGGAGCTGAAGTGCCCAGGTCCCCCGCCTTGGCCTCCCTCGCTGTGCCGCGCTCCCCCCGGAGTCACTCCCCAGGCTGGAATGAAGCCAGGGCGCCTGAGGAGGGAGCTGGGGACAGCCGCGGGGACTGCAACGACCCCGGCGCGGGCGGGGCCGAAGACGCAGGGGCCGGTGCACGCGAGAGGCGGGGGAGGGGATGGGGATGGAGAAGCGGGTGGGAGAGGGCGGTGCACGGGTCAGCCCAACCAGTCGGCGCCAGGGCTGGCACCTACCGAGAACAGAGCCTCCGGGGTGGCCGTGAAACCAAGGCGGGTACAGTACAGCCTGCCATAGTGTCTGGAGCTGGTAAGGTCTTCCCCAATCCAGCCCTCTCTCAAACCAAACCAGCTTGGAAAAACTTTATTCCCGCCCCATCCGACGCGCCTAGAACTGTTGCTGTGCGGAACGCAGAGGCCAGAGGAATGGGAGCCCCAGGTTAAGGTGGGGCACGGGGCACCCCAAGGAAGATGCGGCCTGGGACGCAGGGGGCTCACGGAAAGAGGGAAGCCCCCCTTTGCCCTAACCTGATCGAGTTGCGCCCTTGGCGCAACAGGTTTGGCGCGGGGCGGCCGGGCAGCGCCACCCAGCGTCGTGCCCAGAGTCGTGAGCGCCTCTGCCCGCTCAAAGCTCCGCGCCACCAAGCGTGCACCCCAGGGCGTGTCCACCTGGCAGCTTCCCCGCCAGGCTGGTACGCCCTGGGCCCGGAAGCCTCCCTCTAGACCGTCCTCCCATTCCAAGGCCGCAGAGCTGGGAGCTGGCTCTCCACGGAGGGATCTGAGGTGGAACATTGCCCTCCGCCGGCTCTCTTTTTAAATGCCCAGCCATCTGCAGTTGCCAGTCACGAGTTTATCAACCTTTTAACCTCTCAGCGCCTCTGTCTTTTCATGGGTAAAAAAAAATAGCATAAAATCTCTGCCCTGCCTATCTTTCAGGGCCATTTTGTGGGAATAAATGAGGAAATGAATGTGAAAGTAATAAAAGATGTGCTACACATGTTTATATATTTTGTGTAAAAATCCAACGTACATATACATCGTGATATCTCATTTGGAGCACATGGCATGTAACACATGCTGAACTCATAATTCAGCAACACCCACAAGCATTATTTCATTTCATCCTTCTTGCTCACTCCTATGCATCTAGCATAGTGCCTGTGAGGCAGCAGATAGTTGGGAAGTAACTCCCCGGATGCCCCAGGCCTAAGATAAAGGACAATGGTACTGGACAGAGACCCCATTCTAAGACCTGTTGTTCTGGCTTTCTGGAAAAGGGATGAATCATGGTAAATCATAAATGCAACCTGGGCCGAAGATGCTACATGACCCCTGCTTCATTATAATAGTATTATAATAAATTAACATTGTGGGACACCCTTCCCCACTAGCCAATCAAGGAAAATCATGGTAGACCACATGTGCAGTAGCTTTAAAGTAATACAACTACTTGTACATGCACAGTAAAACCCCGCCAAAGCCAGCCAAGAAATATCCACCCTATAAGAACAGAATCCCTCCGGCCCCCGAGGCCAATCTCCGAGGTCAGCCTCTGCTCTGGGTTGGCCCACTCCCATGTTCCGTGCAGTGTACTGTTACCTAATAAATCTGTGCTCTCCTACTATGAACTCTCTGTGCATTTGGTTCTTTGTCTGCAATCACCAAGAACCCGGTTACCTGTGCCCACCTGTGACACCTGAACAGAGTAGGCACTCATTCAGTGTTTTTGTTGCTGCTGTTGGCTTGACTCTTTATGAAGAAAGTACTGCAATTATCCTCAATTTACAGATGAGGAAACTGAGGTACAGAGAGGGAAACCGAGGCATGGCAGCTAGTGCGCTGGCGTTTGAACCCACATCGTCCAAACTCCTAACAAGTTTATGATATTTATCCAGTGTTTCTTCTGCACTGATGGGAAGGGGTAATCTGATTGGTAGGACTGGGCTTCACCGAGGAGGGTGTCTGCTAGGATGGGTGCTCCTTGAGGGGACTTGTAGAGATGGAAGAATTGGCCAGGGGTTCCCACGAAGAATAGCTAATGTGTTTTGGGACTGTGTGTCTGAAAAATTGTTTTAAGGCTTTTACACAAATTCAATATTTTAATTCTCTGATAATCATGAAATGGACACTATTGCTATCCCACTCCTTAGATGAGAAAAAAGGAGGCATAAAGAGGTGCAATAACGTGCCCAGAGGTATACAGCATCAAGGAGTTGGGGTTCAGAGGCAGATTAAGCTGGAACCTTCCACAAGCCCCTGCACCTGGCTACCTCACAGTGCAGAATCTTGGGGGGGGGAAATGGTGTGTACGAAATCCTTAGAGTTAGTTTGTGACCTTAGTCCCTAAAGACTTAAAATTGTCTGAGAATACCAAGGACCCTCCTCCAAAGGAGGACATTATTTTTTAAATGGGGATGATAGAACCGGCCTCTGGTTGTATCAAATGCTTTCATGTATATAAAGCACCTGGCATGCAATAGGTGCTTAGTAAAGTCTCGCTGAAAGAATGAGTGCATGGTAAGAACACTTTTAACTGGAGTTATTAGGACTGAGGGCTGAGCACTGTACTTGCATTCCTGTTAAATCCTCACCAGAACCCCACAATGTGGGTGCAGTTATCCTCTCATCCATTTTACAGGTGAGGAAGCTGCTTCAGCTTCAGGTGAGGGGGAGTGAGTCACCCAAGGTAAACAAGGAAAAGTGACAGGGACAGGGTGAAAGCGCAGATCTGTTTAGCTCTAAAAGCCCAGCTCTTCGCAGCTGCGCCATCTGCCTCAGACGTGAGAATGAATGAGGAGTCAGTCCTAAGCTGTTCATCAGGGGAGCGTCAGTTGCCACTCCAAGACTGGAGTTCGGGGTCCCCAGCTCAGTGAGCCTCTCCCTGCCCTTTTCGGGGTCCTGCAATCTGGCTTTGAGGTTCAAGGTGGACAAGGCAGCTGACAAGTTCACAGGTCTCAGAGGAGATGCCCACAGCCCGGGAGACTGACAAATGCGTGTTATTGCGTGTGGCCCGTGGTGTGGTAAGGTGGGGCCAGCAATCTGTGGGGTTACAGGAGAAGGGATCCAACTTAGTGTCTTTAGGGTCCCAGGAGGTTTTCTACAGGGGGTGACATTAAGCCAAATCCCAAAGAACCAAAAATGGGGAGATGATTCTAGAGTCCAATGGTGCTTCACTTGGCTGGGGCAGGGTGGTGGGGGAGTAGGCAAAGTCCATGGATAGAATTCTGAACTTAGAAAAGAAAAAATTACATCTCTATTGTTACTAACCTCAACCTAAGATTCATTATCTCCTTTCATTATGGATGCAGGGAGCAATATTAGTACTTACCTGGGACTTTGGCACCAGTAGAAATTTGTATATTCATATCACCTTACAGTTGTTGCAAATAACTTGAAATTTCTTTTATACTCTTTACTGCTTGAAAATTATAACTGTTATTAGACCCACCACTGGCTCTTTCTATGTAATGCATTCATGAAGAAGCTCATATATTACCATCTAAATTAATTTCAATATTTTGATAAGTAGGTATCAATATAACTATAATTGCATTATAAGCTTGAATATTCTACTCTATGGTTTAAAAAACATTATTTTGAGATAGGGTCTACAGGCTTCCACAGGCTAGCAAGGGGTCCTTGGCACAGAGAGAATTAAGAAACCTCTGAAAGTAGCATGTGTGTTAGCTTAGAGGTGGCCATGAGAACTGCAAGCAGTTCTGCCAGAGCCCAGAGCGGGCGGGGCCAGGTGAGGTCTCACAGGTAGGAGGGGCCGGATGCCAGGCAGCCTCATAAATCCCCCCATACAAGAGCAAGAAGGATCAGGTTCAGAAAGCAAGATGTTGGGAGGGGAGTCTTTGTGTACATGGAATAGGCAAGCCCAGAGACAGGAAGCCGTTGCCACAGTCCAAGTAAGATGTGATGTGCGTCTGAACTAAGGTCACGGCGGTGAATAATGGCTGTAACTGAATAAGCAGTAATGAAGCTGTGGAAGGCAAGGGGAGCTAGAGAAAAGCAGTTTGCTAGAAGAGAAGTCGGGGTTTTGTGTTTGGATATGTTGAATCTCAGATGTATATTATCTAGGGTTCCTGAAAGAAACCCAATTCAGTCCAGCTTGAGCAAAGAAGAACTCACAGGCTCATTAACTGGGAGTCCAAGGGCAAATCCTGCAGCTGCGGCCGTACTTAGGAATGCTGTTGGTGTCGTGAGGACCCAGCTCACCCCCTCTCACTGTATCTCACCTTCCCACAGCTTCTCTCTGAACACTGGATTTTCCCCTAGAGTATGTTTGCTTCACATGGCAGAAAAACGGCCACTAGTAGCCCTGAGCTTGCATTTTAATAGCTTGTACTCCAAATAGGAAGAAAGGCTTTTTATGAAACCTGAAAGAAAAACTCTAATTGGTCCTGTTTGGGTCATGTGCGCCCACCTCTGGACCAAGCGCTGAGGACTCAGCACTCTGCTTGAGTCTGCCTGGCAGGTGACCCAAGAGGTGCAGGCAGCGTGAGCCATGACCTACAAGGACCACGTAGAGATGGGGAGGTGCGGGTTCTCTAAAAAAAGAGATTCTGGGAGACCAAAATGATGCACCCACAATGATATGGCTGCGGAACATCCAGGCGGAGATGTTCAATGGGCAGATGAGAGGGTTCTGCAGTTCAGCGTCTCCTAAACACAGAATGACAGCGTTGATGACCAGGAGGTGAAGCTTCAGTCACACTCTGGTGGCGTTTCTGGGCTTATCTCAGTCTATACTTCCTACAGTGTCTATATGGAACCTGGCCTCTCACCTTCTCCCCTCCAAGGGCCAGCTCTGGCTGAGAGACACAGACCCATAATAGTGGTTTTCTCCGCAGGTCACTTAAGGTGGCAACGCAAACCACAGACCTCAGGATTTCTATTATAATTAAAAAGCATCAGACCAGCAAAAAGCAGTCACTGACATCCATATAGGCAACACACATCTGGCTGGATGACTTTCTATTTCTGCCAGACAGGCTGACAGCATTCGTCTCCCAAGTCAGTTTTAGGTATACGGTTTCCCAAAGACGCCGTGTAGATCCTGTTTTAGCTGTGCCCAAAACCCTGAGCACTGTTTCCGAACACCTGGGAAGTAAGAAGTCTCTGGGCTAATTACACAG